TCGACCCGATCTTGGAATCCAGGGTAAATACGCCAAACCCGGCTACTGTAAAATATCGCTTGGCTGTAACATCTCAGCTTCAAGCGGTTTCGGCGTTACGTAACATTCAGCCCGTTGATGTCATTCCGGAGCAAACTCAAGAACCTGTAACTTGGCGCAAACTTGGCGCAAATCGAGGGCAATTTTGGGCCCCGGTAAAATTTGACTGCCCCGACTGGTGGCCTGATTTGGCGCACATGCAAATTCGCACTCGTACGGAACTGCTCCTAAATCTCCCGGCCGGACGGCGCAAATCTGCCGGGACCTACTTTGCACCGTAGCTGTCCCGTGACCTCAGATTATGCATGCAATTCCCAAGAGGGAGCAAGAATGAGACATGTAGTTTCTGGAATTCCACCAAAGGTGTAATCTTTACACCACCTTCTCTCCGAGAAGTTTATCACCAGGCGCTCTCGCGCCTCAAGATTCCATGCTCACCAGGAATAAGAACGTTTCACGTACGTCCTTTGGTTCGGTTATTTTAAATTTGAACCGTCGCGCGCGATAATGAACCCCGTGACTTCAGCACTTCAAATTGGATACTAGATTACTAATATTTAGTGTAGCTTCAGTGCACTACCGTAGTGTCAACTTTACTCCCTTGACAGCTCGGTATAATGTTGGAAAACTGCCTACGTCACGCACGGCCCTTGCCTGAGATCCGCGAGCCAATCGAAAACAAGCATTCCCAAATGTCCCACTTGGGCGGCACAGGTGGCTGGGTGAAAGGCGGCATTCTGAACTTTGATTGCTTGTGTTGGGGGCCCGAAAAGCCCAAGTCGTCGGGAAAAAGATCATGCTACATTTCAATAGTAGCCTGGACCATTTCATAAGGTATTGCTTAAAGGAGGAGGGGGCCGGCAAGGAGTTGCTCTTGTAGCCGGAGTAGGGACAAAGAACGGAGGGTGGATTGAAGTCGTCAACACATGATGGGAATGAGTAGAATTTGTTTTCTACACATGATCGATGATGCTTGAGCGGGGGATTCGGGCGATTTAGTTATGAAACGAGGCGTTCCTCGCGGTAGCCGGGGTTGGCACCATGGAGTTGCGATCCATGTGGAACGCCAGCTGGCGAGCAGTTTCACTTTGTCCACATTAGATAGCATAAATGTTCCGGTGTTGCGGGAATCCTCTTTCTCGGTGGAGTTTTAGGCTTACCACTGTAGGGGCCGAGAATGTGTTCTGCGATGACGAGCGCAAAATGTTTTTGGACGGTGAGGTCATGCTTCTTGAAGCTTGAAAGCGACAAAGAACGCTTGGGGCACGTGCCCGATGAAACATGATTGCTTGTGCAAGAAGCCGAGAGCTCTGTGGTGCACATGGCACCAAAGATTGGGGCACGCCGGCAGTGAGAGTCTGGCCCAAATGGTTGAGGGCCCGCGAGGCGCGCGTTCAAATTCACGAACATGGTATGTCAAAAAGTCAAAGCTGAGGCGTTTTGAGAGGAGAGGACTTCGATGTGCGAAGGCTTGCATCGTTCGGGGAGCAACCTCGGAAGCCGCTTTCCAAGGAGAGTACGGAGCTCTTCGAGCTTGTGCATATTCGCATATGTTGGACGTGTGCAAACCTATGTTGGTGATGTCGAAGAGGTCGGAGAGTATATACTTGGCCACCCTCAATAGCAAGCTCTTGGTGGTCCAACCAATGAAGCGAACGAGCATTGGTATGACGCTCACGATGAGCGTATTTGTCTGTTCACAGTTGTAATCATTATTCGAAAAGAAGCTCAACGCGGTGCGAACGGACCGGAGTGGAAAGTACTTTAAACGAGGGGATCACGGCCATCTTTAGAAATGAGGGACAGTGCAGCGGACCACGGCGAGGCTCTCTCCCCAAAAAACGGTTTGGCGGAGCGGTTGATTTGAACTTCCGTGGAAAGAGCAGGGCTTTGCTACTAGGCGGATTGGGGCGGGCTGTACAGCACGGTCAAATAACCAAATTTTGACGACGCGCCGGCGGTGCGCGACTTGCGGCATCGGCGCGGTACGTGGTAAGTTCAATCCAGTCAGAGATCGGTTTCGCGTGACGGTCGACGCGGCCGCTGCACTGCTCATTTTGTCGCGCGCAATGGTCGTCGGCGCCGACTTGGATAGTCCAAAATGCATTGTTGGTAGCCTTCTGACAAGTAGAAAACATGGCGCCGAGTAGCCTGTACAAGTGTCCAAATCAGTGCTAGGGGCTAGATTCTGCATTGCATTGTTTTAAGCCTTGTAATACTGGTTGCATGCTAGTAGCCTAGCACACAAGAACATGCTGCATGACTAGTATACCTAGCGGCATAGGTAGTCTGGTAAGTAAAAACTGGATAGCCTATTACAATTCGATCAATCAGAGTAGGCTGGGCTAGCTAATCATAGGGCGCATTCAATTACAGAGCAAAGACATCAACTACAGTTCGGAGCTTTTACAAATAATTAATCTACATCATACTCGACATGCGGTTTGATATAGGAGCTACATATGTGAATTGGTGTGTAGGAATGTCAGCTTCAGCGTAATTGCACGTAAGTTGGACAAATGTTGGCTCAACATGTATGCACAGCAATCGGGACATATTGCTTGATCAGAGTAGCTTTGAAATTGCAAAGTTCTCCAATAACTTTGTCTCATTCATGCATTTACTAACAAGAGGCTATTGCGTTTAAATGTTATGCGGCGCGGTGTGAATTCCGTAGACTAATTACATAAGCAAATCGGTTCTAGAACCCCACTTGTCAAATTTTAACGTGTTACATTGACAGCGCAACTTCTTGCAACCTTTGCAAAATGTTCTCGTGATCTTCCAACTCTCATGTGTAGCCCGTTGGCGCACTTGGTCTTCTTTGTCGTCTACGCCTTTTCAATTCCGTCTCGGGGGGCATTTCGAATCGAACGCTTCTAATCAATGCGAAAGCAGATCGTCAAGGCTTACTTAACATCATTCTCTATATACTTGTGGCAAACACGAAGCTTCGACTTCAAAGTAAAATAAAGACACTCAACTGCCATATCACGGACCATGACAGACGTTCCTCAGCCATTCCGTCTCCGCCTTATCAACTCCGAATCCAGACCCCGTGCACGGTGCTACAATATAATCTGCCGGCGTTGTCACAAGGAACAGCAAAGGTATCACCCGGTTGCAATAAACCCGAAAGCTCGTCAGAATCACCATCGAAGACACTTGCTCCTCATCCTCGTCTTCAAACAAGGCATCCGGGATATTCCCCGTTGGTCACCTAAACCCTTACCCGGTCTTTATTCGCGCAGAGAAGCTCGTTCCCTGCCCAGCATTCCTCGCAAAAGCAAGACAACTCCTTGTGCCGAAGCAGCGTATGATTATTGGCGGAGCTGCCTTTGAGAAAGTGAATCTTCCATGTTCCGGGCACCGTTGCACAATAGAGCTTTGGCAGATTGGCAACAACCTTGATCGAGATGAGGTTCGAGTGGAAGAACCGGCTGGTTCAGCCCGCTGATCAGCTCGACTAGGGAAAGAGGACGGCGCCGCGGTGGAGAGTCGAGCCTTGAGGAGCTCGACGACTTCCTTCGCGTTTGTGAGTCTTGGGGCGTCCTGACAATCAAGCAATCGCCACTTTCCTTGCCACTTGCGGATGGCCAACTTGATGAGAGCGCCTGGATCCCCGTCGTGCTCCCATTCCCGTGCCTCGACTCGAAGAAAAGGGTCCACTCAGCCGGCACCCTCGTAAGCCTGGCAAGGTGCTGAGTGTCGAAGTAAAACGCGTGGGTAGACTTAAACAGAGAAGAAGAACGCGTGCTTGTCAATGGTGACCCCATTTGCCTGAAGCCACGGAGAGTGGAGGTCGACCAAAGAGTGCTGGACGAAAACGGTGCCGTGGTCCTCGTCATCGGAGATGTAGCGAGTCTTTGACGATGTTTGGGCCCGCCCCCCGCTTTCCTGCCCGTCAACCGCTTGCTCGGCATGTCGGTATATGATGTGCATCATGATGGCGACGTTATCATTGTACCAATGCATGCTTTGAATCTCGTTTTGACTTGAAAAGAGTAGTTTTCAGCAAAGTCGATCACGGAGACGACAATTTGCTTGAGGAAAGTGGCGATGAGTTTAGGGAATTGGGCGTCCTGCCACTTGGCCCGCGTAGAAGTGCCTCGCATTGGCGTTGAGTTTTGCCTCAGCGGCGGAACAAATTCCTGGCGTAGGTGCTTTTCTCGAGCTGGCAGATCCGCTTCTTGGGACGCCCCGCAGCATCGAGTCTCCCTGTAGGAACATACTTGTTGACTTGGCATACGACGTCAGGCTCCCCGGGTTTGGTTTCGAGGGGCCACCGGGGGAGGGTTTTGTCTTTGCAAACAAGGCAGTCCGGTTGATGCACTCCGGTTTGTATAACAAGGGAGTGGGGGGTTTGGAGCAGAGGATACTTAAGACCACAAAGGGCGGCGTTGCTGGCGTACGTGGAGCTGGCGTATCGACACATGGCAGAGGGGGGGCTGTCGGGGAGGACGGGCCGACACAACGTACACCCGCACTCGCAAACGTTGTCTTTGTTGTGTGGCCCCTTCTACAAAGGCGGTTGACGCCGACCAGAAGAAGCTTAACTTTTTCATAGTATTAACAGCAGCCAACGTTTTTGTCCACTTGGCGCACGAACTTGCACAAGCACAAAGTGGCTTGCAGTAGTGGGGCTATTCACACCAGCAGCGTTGCGGCGGCGCAAGGCAGATGAACCAAAGGACACGTAGAAATAAAATCACGCAAAGAAAATAATTCCACGTTTGTGAAAGCCTTTCTTTGGAAAAACGTGACTGCAAAACTGTCTACAGTGTCCGATCTCCCACTAGCAACTCGGGTGTAACACTGTAATCCGCGCGCATTGAACCGTGTAACCGTAACTACTCGTTACCGTTGAATTACCGTCGACGTCGTGATCCTCAAACACTAAAATTACTCAGAGATTCGGTCCCTAAATGCCCGTATCTCAACACTCCCCCACATTCCAATGACTATGCTATTTCTATCTCGCTCTTGCACTTCTTGAACTTTCCCGGTCCCAGCGCCTTGGTCATGATGTCAGCCGTCATGTCCTCCGTCCTGCAGTACGCGAACGCGACCCCCGAACGTGCTACGCGCTCTCGTGCAAAGTGGTGAATCACGTCAATGTGCTTCGACCGCTGCGAAGCGATCGGATGCTTTATGAGCCAAATTGCCCGTTGGTTGCCGCATGAGATCTGGACCGTCCCGAGGTCCAACTCAAG